TCTTATCCCTGGATTCGTTTATTAATCTCCCTGGAGCCTGCTTTGCGATCGTTCTTCATCCACCGGGAGTTGCCAATCTCGAATCCATTTCGGTGCATCCACTTTCCGGGTATCCTTGCACGTCTCATCAGCTTCAACAATATTACATCGTAGCAACGTTATGTTCCTACATCTCGTGTGTCCTCAGAAGGCGGGGCAGACCAGGCCCAAACCAGATGGCGAAGCAGTGGAACAATAACGTCAAAGATTCCGTTCATGCTTCCTCGACAGCCATGTACGGCGTCTTCTGTATCTTCGGAATCAAGTCAACGGAGCCTGCTTCCTGCAGTGCAACCCAACGACTTCTCATCCATTCCCCTCCAGTTCATGTCAAGGATAGTCGACATGATCTGATGACAAGTAACGGCCTTGGCCTTCTCGACACTCACGCAGTGATGATAGTGACGGGCAATGCATATTATCACATCGTAAATATGCCAACTGCCTATTGCAGATATTTGGGACCAATTGAGCATGAGCTTTCACATGGGGTGATTGTGGTCAGGTCGTCGTAAAATGCGACTGGCTCGGTAAACTCTGCTCATGGTTACATCGACTAATTAGTCGCAGTGCCCGGAACGGCAATCATAGAATCCTTTCAAGTTCCCAGTCAGCGATCCTGGGGGTTTACGCCTATGTACCGCGTGCCGAGATTCAGTGCTTCAAGATGCGCGCTCTCAACGGTTTCACTATTTTACGTTGCATCGCGCCGTTTCAATGTGTTTCCACACAGGGCTACGAACCAGTGTGGATGAACGACCGTTGTCTGTTGTCTTTCATGTCTCGGTTATGTTGGTGTTACTGTTCATCAACGACAAGCAAGAGATACCTTGGCCACGCTGTCGAGTCCGAGACTCGAGACTATAAACCTGAGATTTGCATCTGCAGTGAACCCTAAAAGGCATGCATGACTCTAGATCTGTCTGTCCGACGTCGACGCTGGATGTCAGCAGGTTCCCAGGCTCCGACCTGGTGGACCATGGGCCACGCAGCGTTTGTGAAAGTAACCACCCTTTGCTATGACCAACTCCGAACCGGTTGAGAGGACCGCGGCACCATTGGATACCTCTTGAATTCATGAATCGACCTTTGGGCAACGCGATCTTTTCAATCTCGGAGATGCTTCGGCTTGCAACATGTCCCGTCTCTTTGTTGTCCTAATGCGACAGGTCTACTTTCGGAACCTGATGAGGGAAGGTGATAACTCCACCTTCACTGCAAACACTGACCGAGACATAGGATTAAGAACAAGTCGTCCTAAGGGCTGAGAACGGGTATTGATGCCCTTGCCTTGACGCAATTAACGATACGATAGGTACAACAAGTAAAGAACGCTATGGGAATCTGCCCTTTCGCCGCGCCAACCTATTTCATGCATGGACGATAGCACAAGAATGTCGATCCAGAAACACAATTCCACCTTTCCAAAAGAGTCCATCCCTCACAAATTTGGGGTTACTCGACCCAGGTCGTTGACATCTCAAGTTGAAGCAACGCAGCACATCTAGTAATACCAGTAAACTGCGGCGCTTGGGTTATAGACAGCAGTCATCGTGTGCGTTTATCCATTCCTCACATCGCCTCTAGTACCGGTATAGAGGTTCCTTGCTCTTGGGTGGTGGTCCACTTGGCGCATCATAGATGTCATCGTCGTCGGAGACTTCGTCGAGTCGTTGCTGGGCTGGAGGCTGGGCGGTTGGTGTCGAAGCTCCAGCACCGTGCATGTGGACCTTACCAATGGCGCTGTCTTGTCGGCCCAGATAGCTTTCCGTGGGTTTGAAGCCAGGATGGAAGGGCTCATATGCAAGGCGTTCGTGTTCGGAGTACTGAGTCGCTGTGTTGGATAGTGGCTGGACCGAGGAAGAATTGCCTGGCTGAGGATCTGCAAAAGGGTTCTCGGCGGGCTCTTCATAGGGTCGGTTCGAACTTCCCTCACCATTCTGGGGTGGAGGACCTGGAGGTGGTGGGTAAGAATGCGTCTCTTTACCCTTGCCGGAACCTGATCCAGATCCGTTACTGAAGTAGTGATTGTTGCCGTTGGTCTCAGGTTGAGACTCTTGCTGCTGCTGGGGCTGAATCTGAGGGGTCAAACTGGGCGACTGCGAGTCGGATCGTTCGTTCAAACCCAGTTGTTTTCGGGCGCTCAGAACAGCTCGCTTGTGCTGGTTGAGCGCAGTCTGCAGCTGCTCATTGGTGTCGATGAGATTCTCCATCGTGTCGTTATCAGGAGTGGGATTCTCAGACGTCATGTAGCCTTGGATACTGCGAGATGCGCTTGAGCATCGATCAGCAAATTCTTTGATGAGCTCGTTGTCGAGAATTTCGCCGGGAGGCGTATTCATGACAACTTGCTCTAGGAGCTTAGCTGATGTTCGGGCTTCTTCGAGTCGGCTGGCTAGCTCAATGGGATCAGGCAAGCGCTTGTTCGTGTGGTGTCTCGCAAAGTAATTCTGCGAGTGTGGGTTTGGAGGAGGGGTGTTAAGACCGCCTGGAGACATCATGGGCTGCTGCGGTCCCTGCAACAACTCGTTAGTATGTAAGGACCCATAACCTGAAATATGTGTGCATACCCCAAAGTTCTTGTAAGCTTGTTCCTTCTCCTTTTGCCACATTGAAGTAAGCAAAGTCAAGTTTTCGTCGTACGCCTTGGTGTGCTGGAAATCATCGAGTGTCTCCATGAGGATCTGGCGCACGCTGGGGTCTCGTACAGCCTTGAGGAGCCCTCGCGCAGTATCGACGAACTTTTGGTCTAGGTTCCGTGTGAAAGTCGCGCCGGGGTTGTCGGTCAAGATGCGCAAGAGCATGATTGCGTTGTACTGCCATGATGGCTTTGAAAAGTATTCTTTGGACAGGTACTTGCGGATTAGGCGCGCGCATTCTGCGGCAGCAGCTGGGGAGGATTCGGCGGCATCGACGATAGGAGGGAGAAAGAGAACCTCATCTTGCTGTTTCGTATAAGATTAGCTGAGGTATGGCGTGTGTGGGGGGGCGACCGTAAAGCATACCTTGGACTTTCCTCCAGACTCGCAAAATGCTTTCTAGGCTCTGGTCAGCGATGGCCAGACGGACGATAGGGACGGTTTCGCAGGATGCGCGATAATATAGGGACATACCACGCTGTTGTGAGCTGTAGCCTCGGGTGTTCCGGCCGGTGTCGTGCCTGAAGGTGAAGCTCCGGAGGGTCCGTCAGATGCTCCTATGAATTGTCAGCTCTGGACGTGTGCTGTGTTTATTTTGGGCAGCCTGAAACCAAAGAGGTCGATCGCAAGGCAGCGCGCGTGAGAATACGTACGATTGGAGACATTGCTGGCTTTTCTTCTGATGCTACCGAGCACCTTGCTCATACCAAGACCCTTCATGGACTTCATGGCTGTGTTGGAAGCTCGCGCCACAGCGGGCGACTCTAGGGGTGGAGGAATCGGGGGGCTTGTTGGAACAGGAGGCGAGATGATGCCTAGAGTTATAGCAGTATTTGGCAACTAGATAAATAGATGAGGAATGACAAAGTTGTTGAGGTGAGGTCAAGTCGTGACTCGCAAAAGTTGAAGATGTAGGTAGGTAGGGAAATTAAGGCTCAAATGGGAAGGCGCCGGGATGCAATGCAATTACTATCACGGTTTCAGAAGCGAACAGTGATGTTGGCTGGTCTTGGTACGTTTCTGCCTCTCGGAGCTGACGATGTTGGAGCGAGCGTCGAATGATTGGCGCCGTTGTCTGGGAGGAGCAAGGGTATTGATCCTTTTGGACTTGGTTTGAAGTTGAGGACAAAGTTGCTTTTGACTCGAGGGAGGTGGTATAATAGCCGATGACAAAGCAGCAACTAAACACTGGTTGTCCGGTGATTTAGTAGGTTGTTGTTAACTCGTAACTCTTCTGTGACTGTAACTGTAGGTACTCGGTCGTTTCTTGTTGGGTCTCGTCGATATTCAACATTCGGAGTTGTTAAAGGGTCCGTGATGCGCCTCCCGCTAATACAGCCCCGTGCGTCACCCACTCTCTGGGCTGGGCTGGGATTTGCAGGGTCCTACAAGGTCGAAATAGAGCAATCTTGCGATAGGCAAAAAAAGGTTGAAACGCGAGAAAAGAGAAGATATCAATTTACGGATACGCATCAATTAAACACAAGGCTCTAGACAATGGCCTAGTTATCAACAAATATAACTACCTTAACCCAACTGTAAAGCGGCCGCCGTTGCACAGCCTCATCACCCTACGCAATCAACCCTTCTCTATCGCCGCCGTAACACATGACATTAGCATTACCCTCAGCGTTAGTTTTGGCATCGTGTCTTGGCTTCACTCTGGGCTTTGTCATGAAATGTGCCGGACCATTTTCTCACTAACATTCATCTGAGTGACGGACAAACAAGAACGCGTGGCATTTCAATATGCGGAGTGTTCATCTAAAAGGTGAAGATCTGCGCTATCTCCACAGTGGGAGCCGTTCTTCTGGATCTCTAACACGCGGCCCGAAGTTCGAAAGTTGGAGAGATGGTTATAGTGCACCCTTTAACTTACAGTAGATGCCGTTAATAGTGAGCGGTAGAATGTGTCAAGTTATAAGCTTGAACTACGTAAGCCTCATCTACTAAGATCATGCTTGTCTCAAGAATCTGACACTCAGAGATTGCACACACCGTGAGGTTGGCAGGGGTCTCGCTGTATTCGTTAAATTACTGCGGACTTCAGGTTGTATAAGTCCGACAGACACTCAAACCTGTCGGCAGTTTTCTTTGCGCTGGTGTACGGAGTAGCCCCCAGGCGAGCATCTGATAAGCGACACTGTTTCCTGTCGCCCAGGCCTCCAACACATGCTCCCACGACACCCTCTTGTAGTCAAAGTCGTGTGTATTCTTCATTATATAACAGTACAGCTCTTGACCGCCATGAAAAGTCTCCATACAAACGACCGCTGGTCATGGTCTCTTGGCGCTAGCTACTGACTGACCACCCTCCGCCTCCTAGTCTTCGTCATCACCCTCGTCGTCCGACTCATCTTCCGAATCCGGTGATATGTCCTCCACAATCAGATTTCCCGACCGTCCAATCTTCTCCCCCATCGTCACTGTTGTGCTAGGCTCGTACACCGTTCTGGGGAGAATTGAGGCGATTCGGAACTTGTACTCGTGCTCGTACTCCCCCGGCTTATCACCACCCGCTGCACCCTCCTCTTTGAGAACGCTGTAGCACTCCACAAAGGCATACAGGTCCTCCAGGGAGGCATCTTGGGGGAACCGCCGCACAATTCGGCCGATACCCGATTCCTCGGGCATCTTGAGTGCGACTCGTACCACGCTCTTATCGCCGGTTGGTGGCTCGGGCACAATAGTTGTTGCTCTCCACGCAATCCATTGCTCGCGCTTCTCTTCGAGTCTCTTTGCTGCCTCTGCTTCTTCCTGCGCGCGCTTCTCTGCTGCAGCTGCGGCCGCCGCGGCTTCTTTCTTCTGGCGTGCGCGTTCTCTGTCAATAGCTAGTGACCGTTCGTAGGCCGAGTCTTGCTCCGTTCGTAGATTTCTTGTGACTTCCTGGGCTGTTCGCTCTGCGCGTACTCCATCCAGATCTGCACCGTACTTCTCGATTGCTGCTCGAAGCTCTGATAGGTAGGTGGAGGGGGGCATGGGTCCAACGAGTCGCTTGACGATCCCCATTCGTGTGCTACCCTCCTTTGGTGTAAGGCAAACCAATGCCGAGAAGGGAAACTTGGTGCAGATATACTCCTGAGCCACCTGGTATGCCTCAGAATCCAAGACGTTTCCGCCCCACAGAATTATGTTGTTGGAAGGATCTTTGATGAAGTTCACCACTTCTGGTGCTAGTAAAGTCTCTTTTACGAAAGACTCAGTATCGTCGTGCTCAGGCGACATCAATACCACAAGCATAAACTTGAGGTCCTTCTTGGCTTGATCATGCGCCTGAGCGACACCGCCCTCGAAGAAGGGCAATTCGTTCTCCCCATACTCCTCTTCGAACTCTCGCTTGAATCTCGAGGCTGTATCTCGAGGCATGAGAGGTCTTCGGCCATTGGTGCCTCTGAAGCCTGTCGAGATTCTGCTCGTAACAGCCCGTGGCCGAATTGAGGCGGGCAAGAAGGACAGCGCATAGATCAAAGTCCGAAATAGAGTCGAGGCAGCTCTCCAGCCCAAGCTAAAGGGGGTGAGGAGCAGGCCCAGCAACCATGGAGTTCGGTTTGTCACAGGGTTCTGAGGCACGATTCTTGGAGCTAGATCAGTGCGCTGTCGAGGTGAAGCTCGAGGGGCACGAATTGCCTCATCAAAAAGGCTCTCTTGTAGGTTTTCGTGCCGCGCTGTCGCCCGGGGTATTTCTTGTTGTGCTGCAGCTACTGGGTCTGCAACTTCGCCGTCGAAGAACTTGGCGATTGCGATCTATGATGCATCGTTAGAAGGGTGGAAAAGAGCAAAGAAGCGGGGTTGATACCTGAACATTCCATTCGGAGCGGCGGAGAAGCGGAATAGCTTCGCTGATCTCTTGGTTGGTCACTTGTGTATATTGATCGAGAGCCTCCTGCTGAGTAGTGGACAGTTGTCCCAAGTCCATGTCGCCTTCGGCCATGTTGTAACCTATATCATCCACACTGCTCTTGTTGCAGGGTTCGAAGAATGCCTCTCAGATGAACAGCAAGAAGAGGGGAAAGGAACCGAGTTCAAAAAGGGCGGGAACGAAGAGTGAATGCGGTCTACGTCTCGCTTGTGGTGTAACCCCACGGTTTTATAAGATCCAATACATTGAGCATTCGTAAATAAGTGGTTGGAAGATTCCGGCTTCGCTGTATATAAATGGAAAAAAAGGAGTGTGTGGGAAAATTAGAAAGTTCAAAGCGTCGGAGGGTAAAAAGGAAGTTTGAAGTTTGAAATGAGCTCTATTGAAGTATCTCTTGTATGTGATATCGAAAGAAGAGAGCTAGAGATGAGGTTGACGAATGATGGCATCAAGCGCGTCAGAGCTAAAGTGGGCGGGCTTGCTTATCAAAAGTCAGATTAAACCCGTTTTGGGGTGGGCTATTCTTCGGGACAATGATCTTATTGGTGTCTTATAGGAGCAACGAACGAACTGGCTTTCAGGTTTGGCGTCATGCCGTGGAGACACATGTCCAAGTATATTTCCATACAAAAATAATAGAAAAGATACTAGGATTAGGCGCATCGCTTTGCTTTGCTGGGCTCGCGACACTGCAGATTTGTTCACCCAACCCAACTGAAGTGTCTAGTCCCTCCACCAAAACTGCCCCCCCACCGCCCACATCCACATCCGCACCTAATCCAACCACTCGTTCAACTCCTCATACCTACCTTACCTCAACCTCTCCTCTCCTCCCGACCTCGCAAGACTTTGCTTGCTCCCGCTACCAGAGGCGACGGCCCGCGCCTTGTTCCCCCTCGAACACGGCCGTTGGCTTCCCGTGCTTTAATCACTGTTCAAGCTGGTCTGCAACGGCCAGCCTCTGGACCCCGCCGTTCGTCTCGTTACTCCATGGGCGGCCGCTCGCCTCGATCAATTGAACAATGGGAAATGCTTGCCAGAGTCAAGTAGGTGCTGTTTTTGTCAGTATTCGGTCTAGGTCCTGTGGGCATTGTCATCTGCACATAGATCGTTTCTCAGTCGGCAGCTTGCTAACATCCTCTCCTCTTTCAGACGTCGTAAACACAGCCAAGCGGGCTGCACTACCTTCAACACTATATAACCACTGACCATGGCGACTTCGCGATATCAAACGGCCGATCTACGACGCCAAGTTGGGTCCCCGAGACCCAAAGGACGCGGTTCGTTTACCCTTCCATCCATTCCACGATATCGACACACCCCGCCACCATCAAATCAACTCCAACATGAACGCTGACCTGCGCTCTCCAGAGAATAAAGATACACTATGCCGAAACGTACTTATATATGGCCATTGTCGATACGAGGACCAAGGCTGTGCCTTTAGTCACGATCAGAACAAAAACAACTCCAATTCAGACTTGTAGGTTACTCAAACTTTTGTTTTGTTTGTTGTTTTCGGGATGGATGGACCCGACCCATGATGCGACAGTTCGCAGTACCCAAATTTAATCCGACTTCGCTTGGCTTATAAAGTTACACACTTCAGCCATGAAAGCCTCGCGCTGTCAGTTCACGGTAGGTTTGTTAATGAGGCTTGTAAGTGATCATTGTATACCTTGCAGTGGTTACATACTTTTTCTCTGTAGACGGGAGGCTTCAATGCTGCTGCAGGAAGGACCGTATGTCGCATGACCTCTCCGCTCATCGGCCAATACCTTACTCCCTCATCACTAATGACTTGCCAACTTAACTTTACTTTACGTCAACTCTTCAAAAGCACAACGCCCCCATGACCAGCAGCCCTGGTGCTGTATCACTACTTCAGGCATATAATATCCCACACTGTTTCTTACTCAAGTTGACTCTTGCGAGCTGCTACTCCATATTCAGCAACTCACACTACGATTTCGACCCTCCAACATGGCCATGGCTAATGATGTTGAACCCAGATCCAAGAAAGCACTCAATGTTGAATCGCCATCTTTCACGCCTGCTAGCGTTGGAATTAATAAAAAGGCCACCTTCTCTTCACAGGCTGCCAGCGCTCCAGCTTTTACACCACGTGGCTTGGGCTGTATGTCCCCCATAAGTACCCTCATTCTTGTGCCAGTCAACTGACAAAATTCTTGTAAAGCCGCTACCCCGGTTGGGCCCCAGGACAGCGACAGCAGCGTCTTCAATCCTGCAACTGTCCGCGAATTTACCCCCAACTTTGACGTGAACAGCACGGTATGATCCGTCACTGCCGATATCGAGACTCTCCGCTGATTACCTAGATAGACTACTTCCGCAAATGGCTCCGGTCAAGATGGCGGGATCTCTTATGACCCCTTCACTGTGCCTACTATGAATCAAGGCATCACTACTCCTCAGTATAACCCTTATGCTGAAGATCCAGGAGCTCTGGGTGGCCATGGGCCAGGGTACTTCCCAGCACAAAATGCATTTGCTGCTCCTGTTCAACCTCTGGTCCATCACTTATACTTCCCCTCTGGGCAACGTCGAGATGATTTAATGCCATATCATCGCGTTTCTCACGACTTTTTCATCTCTGAGAAAGATCGAGTTGAGATTGTCAATAAGCTTGAAGCGACTGGCCAAGTTCTCCCAAACTCCCAGTTACCGCAACTCGACAATTACCACAACTTGGTACCCTTGGATACAACCCATCGGAAGAATGCTAATATCTTTGGCTATCCGAGCTGGGTCTATAAAGCTACACAAACCAAGTCAGGTCACACTTATTGTCTCAGGCGATTAGAAGGCTACAGACTCACCAACGAGAATGCCATCAGGCTTGTCAAAGAGTGGCGGCGCATCAACAATGGCAGCGTGGTTTCTATTATCGATGCGTTTACCACCCGCGCTTTCGGGGACAGCTCACTCATCTTTGTACAAAACTACTTTCCCCTCTCCAAAACACTAGTTGAGGCTCACTTGACCCCAAACAGTACCCATGGCACACGTTTCCAAGCTAAAACACCCATTGCTGAGAACGTCCTATGGGGTTACATCTCACAGATTGCCAATGCGCTCCAGGCTATCCATTCGGTCAATTTGGCAGCACGATGTATCGATCCTAGCAAGATCATTCTTACAGACAAGGGCCGCATCCGTCTCAGCGCATGCTCTATCTTGGATGTCGTTCAATATGATGCTCATCGATCCATTCAGGAGCTTCAGCAAGAAGACTTCATTCAATTTGGCCGGCTATTGCTCTGTCTGACGACTAACACTCTGCCAGTCCATCTCACTAATTTTAACATATCTTTGGAACAATTGTCGAGGGTGTATTCAGTCGAACTGAGGGATACTGTGCTGTGGCTCCTCACCCCTCAGCAACCACCCGCTCAGAAAGGCATAGACGAGTTCGTACGCGGAATTGCTGGTCGTATTACATCCACGTTTGACCAAATTCTTCAAGCCAATGACAAGGCCCGCGCCGACGTCATGCGGGAGGTAGAGAACGGTAGGACAGCCAGACTGTTGATGAAACTCGAGACCATCAACGAGCGATATGACTTCAACGGGGATCAGAATTGGTCTGAAAATGGCGAGCGGTATATGCTCAAACTCTTCAGAGATTATGTTTTTCATCAAGTGGATGGCAACGGTAATCCGGTTCTGGATATGGGACACATGCTTCGTTGCCTGAGCAAACTAGATGTTGGGACGGAGGAGAGGGTTTGTCTCACCAGCCGAGACGAACAGACCAGCTTCCTCGTCAGCTACAAGGAGCTTAAAAAGATGCTGGCGAATTCCTTCGGAGAACTTGTCAAGGCGAGCAAATCAGGTCGAAGCTTCTAGTTCCAGCAGGAACAACAACCTGGCTCGTGGCAAGTTTCAGGGAATCGCGGTACAAAGCCTCAATACCCATGAGGACATTAGAAAAGGTCAGACCGAGGGTGGGGGGCTAGATTTGATGGTAAATTGGTGGGTATTGGTCCTAGCCAGTCTCGTGCAACTTCTATTCCCACGAGGCCAAAGTCCCACAAGGCAACAGAATATCTTCCACGGAAACAAACACATCAGGAGGAAACAAGGTCTCGAAGCGAATCAGACTCGTCACTAGAGGTTCCCAGCGAGTTATGCTAGGCCTTGGAGAGGAGACTAATGTGCAACGCACAGGCAGGCCCAAGGCAAGCCTCCGTCTTGCCTGAGGATGAATGAAACGACGAGTTACAGGAAGGATCGAGTCCTCAGAACGACAAGGACGCCCCGACTATCGAACAGGAACATGGACAGAAGAAGAAGAGGGCCAGAAAAACAAAGAGCACCAATCTTTGAGAACAGAGTCTCATACAATCACGACACCTTGGGTACTTATAAGGGCATCGCCTTGGATCAGTCAGGCAATCAGAACCGGCAAAATCGCCAGAAGGTTTCTGGCCTCGCGTCATATGATGCGATGGGGGTTGGGACATTGGAGGCAATCTACAGATTCATGATGGTCTGCCATGGCTGATGATGTTTAGACTGTGTGTGTGTATATGGCAGAGGTTAGTGGTGATTCCGAAACAGAGAGAGACGATATAGTGAGACAGAAGTAGCGTATTTGCCTTTTCAATATGATATATTGCCTTCATTCATTACAATACTCTATGAAGTGGCGGCTAACGTGATAAATTCACGGTTGGCGCCAAGGACTTTGGTAAGATGCTGCTTTCGATGCCTATGCATAATGCAAAATACCATGCTAGTAGCTGGCGATCTAATTGTGTCGCTCGGTTTCTTGGATTTAAACCAGGCTTGACACGGCCATATATATTGTACCAGCTCCAGGTGGGACGTTGTGTTGTTTGCCTTTGTCGTAATATTCGTTTCCAGCCTGATGACAGTTGGCTCCTCAATCATCCTCGGCTTGCACAAAAGGGTTGGCAATCTCTTCGCTGCCATCGACAGGGCTGACGAGAACAAGGAGAGTACCTCGAACAACTACGAGGCCAAGGGATCGAGTGGAGTCGTTGCCTTCGTCGTCTGCAGTTCTAGTGTTAGCTGCGAGTACCTAGCCAGGAACGAAGAGAATATGGATCAGAAGATGGTTTGTGGGAATCGCGCGTCGTACCTCGAACAACCTCGTGTACATCATCTAGTACCAGGTTCATAAGAGCATCATAGCCCTTCAATGTGCCCTTGACTGAATCAGAAGTTAGTGACTGGGATCTCCTGGCGCGCAAGTCGAATAGACATACCCTCGCGACCGCCGTTAAACTTGACGGTGATCTGCTTGTCCATGTACTTGCCCAAGTCAAGAATGTTCTCCTTCTTGGGTCTCTCGCGCTCCTGCTGAGCGCCTCCCGCGCCGCCTCCTCCACGACCGCCTCCGCGCCCACCTCGTGAATGCGAACCTTGGCCACCGCGGCCGCCTCGGTGTGAGGGTCTGTCGGACATGGCGTATCTTTAGGGGCTGGATTGAGGAGGAGATGGGGTGTGATATTGGTGATGTGCTTGTGGTTTGGGCTGAAGTTGGAACTTGTGATGGCTCTGGTGGGGTGAGTGGTGCTAGTACAATTATGGAGATTTACAGGTGTGGACTTGGGTTGTTTGTGGGTAGGCATGTGTGGATTTGGTGCGAGAGTGGATTGTGAGGAGAGAGCTTGACTTGAGCTTGATACATACGATTCGACCAATGAGTGGCAGGAATTAGATACAGCAACACTCAGTTCTTGTCCATGTGAATACGATAATCATAACTCACACCGCGTAATCATGTGGTCTAGTCTGCCAACTGCAGGAAAGATACTGATCACCAGAAACAAGCCTAGCAAAATGCAGTAGAGCTTTGTCGATTTAGTAGTGATGGTGACTTACCGACTTATAGTGCCGCAATACCGAGCGTGATACTATTGGACCTGTAATATAGATGCAAGTGGAAGTGTAAGTGCAAGTGCCTGTGCGAGAGAAAATATATCGCTCGCGTGCCTCGGAGACCAGCGTCACAAATTGCAGTAGCAGATCGACGAGCGGGATGATGCAGCCAGCCAGCGCCAGTGATATTGCCTCACTCATCTGACTTGAAACTAAGGTAGATCCATGCAGCTTGAGTCTGTTCTCTTTTCCTGTTTACCGCCTGTAAATCAACCCTCCCTCCATCCGTGCAAGCTACCCTACCTTGGTAGCTTGGGATTTGCAGCAGCACAGCCTCATACAAAGATCCCGCGCTGGGACATGCATTAAGGCGCCTATGTACAGATTGACAGGAGTGCTATGCGACTCTCATTGTAGGTCTCTATGAGTTGTTTTTTGGCATGTACTTGACTCCTCAGAGGAGGCCTCTTGATATCCATCATGAACTGTCCGAAAAAGGAAATCAAGCTACAGTAGCACTGGGTCTTGAGCCCGGTGGCCCGCCGTTAACCTAAGCTGTGGTGATGTCTGGGCGGCTGGCAGTGGCTGCAGTACCCAGGTATAGGGCATCACCAGGGCATTTGTGTCTCGTCTGTCAGTTTCGAATTGGTTGATGCTACTACGCACCGCTCTTTGTCCTTAAATCCTCTTGGCCTACCTCATTACTTCTTTTATCTGAACTTTTCAAAAATTACTTCATCCTCAAAGGAATCATCAATTATCGTCGTCCCTTTTTAGGCGCTACAAGTCGGAGATTTTGGTGTTGACGTACCCTCCATTCATATCCCCTCCATCCATTCCAATTAATACCAAGTCGACCGTTGTCACTTTCCATCGGCCTCGCACCTCGTTCCGCTGCACTCTTCCCCACATGGTCCCGATTCCCCGGCACTTTCTTCCTGCTCCAAGGCTCCTCTTGTCTCTTTTCCGTATTTCCTTGTGCTTCTCCCCCAGCCCGTCCAGTATTGGAACCCTTTCAATCTCCTTTTTTCTCACTCTTGAAGCCTCCTCTTCACCCGCTTGGACGCCAACGTCACCCGTTGTAGCTCGCTGCGTTATTTTGCGCGAGGGATTTTCTGTGCTGGAATAGAATTGAGCCTGCTCCACGGAGAATCAACAGTTGTTCTCCTCTTGGCGCCCATTTACCTGCATATCTAAGGTATCTATCTGGGGGGACGGACTCTCTAATACTACAAAATCGACATATCCTCTCAACCCATCGTCAACTTATTCTGGCTTCACTCCGTCGCCATGAATATCCAATAACCGCTGTCGTTGTCTCATCCTCTCTCTCTCGCCGCTTCTCTCCTCTTCTCTCCTATCACTCACTCAATCGGCCAACTGGAATCCCCGTCGCAATCCCTTCGCGACATTGCCACTCACCTGACTCTAATTCGTCCTGCGGCCAAACCTCTCTCAGAAGCTTTGATATCTGTCTCCCTATTCCGTCCTCTTTAGCGCAATCCAGGCAGATCTGTTCGCTTCACAGGGCATTTCAGGGTTCAATCTCGGCTAGGACGTTTGTTGGTCAAGCGTAAGCGCCTCATTCTGCACACGGCATCTAAGCTCGTCTATCAATCTCGACCCTTTGGTCAACATACCACATTTACACCCATCAATCACCCATCATGGGCCATACTTCCGACTCGGAACCTGCAAAACGAAAGCGTGATGTCGATGATGCCGGTGGTCAAGGTCGCGCTCAGCACGCACCTACATCTCTTCAGCAAGGTATGTCTAGTATGACAACAGCCGTCAAGGGCTGCACCATATTGTGTCGCCTCAAATCCTGAGACGTTTCGTTTGTAGCACCACATACGAGACTGCATTGTTTGCCTTGACCTCGCCGTCGTTGCACACTTGCATGTATCTTCGTGTCTCTTACATTCTTCAATGCATGGCGTCGCCTGATGGCGTGCGCAAAACGAGACGGCACTTGAAAAGCCGAATGCTCTTGGTTTGACCCCTCGCCGGAAGTAGCGTTCAGCTCGACTCCTCCAGGGACGCACATGCTTGTTGCTTTTGTATCCGGCTTTTCTGTCTTGGTGCTCTGGCACAGCTTGTTCGCTTGGAGGATATGCTAACCCAACCTCAAAGGCGTTCCCGGTTACATCCACTATCTCCCGAGATCAAATGCATCGCATTTGAGCCTCGTACAGGGTGACGCAGACACATTTGCCGACATCATCGGTCTGATTGGCGAATATGAGAGTAAGGATGCCAAGAGAATCGTCGAAACCATTAATGGGAAACCATTTACTGACGCACATCAGCCGTGTTGGACAGACATGAGAGTCTTGCAGCAAGTCTTGGGGCTAAACTTACCGGCCCAAGACTTTTGAGAGGCATTGAGAAGTTTTTCGACGGGCCAATCAAAACGACACCGCTTCAGCCATTCTCCAACCCTATAAGTTGGCTGGATGTAGTCAGTTTTGCGAGATCAAACCCAAAGGATTTTACCCTCGTTCAAAAGGCGGATGGCACCCGATGCTGCCAATTTGTTCTCAAAGGCTCACAGGTGGAGATTATGGAGGACGATTGGCGTCTGGTATGGTCTGGCGCTTTGGATCGGTTCCCCCTTGATCACCCCCTCGAAGAGGATGAGACGGCAGAACTGGCGACTTTGGATATTCTCGAACAAAGAACATCAATTCTGTACAAGAAGGCTGACGAAGTAGCGGCGAGAGCTCGTATACTCAACCATCGGCTGGGGCAGAGGAAGCAGGATATTCGTCGACGCAGGAGCACACAGGACACACCGCCGTCACGATATCAGCCCACTAACAGTACCGGCAGTAGCAGTTCACATCGAACGGCCAATTTCAGCGCCGGCTATGATTTACATGCAGATTTGCTGCAGCAGTTTCTCGCAGCCTCAGCTTCACCGCCACCATCTCGGTCAACTTCAGTTACAGGAATTCCTATAACCACTTTGAGTCAACCATCTCCTTCGCACAGCGTAACCCACTCTCAAGCGCACGGCCCAAGATACAGTGGCCACGCAGCAGAGACAACAGTGCAGCCTGTGATGGACAGCCGCGAAACAGCTTTCCGGTCTCTGATTACACAAAGGACTGACCAGCTGGGCAAGGGGGATGTGATCAACCCACCGTGCGATCGGTGTCGGCGACTAAGGGTTGAATGCGTTAAACATTTGACAGCATGCTCAGGATGTACGAAAAAGCATGCAAAATGCAGTTGGAAAACAGTCACAGATGATGAGTTTCGACAACTCAAGCGAGACATGGGTCTCAGGGATGAAATGGATATTGATGGGCACTCAGACAGTGGACGAGTTCCTGACACATTGGACCCCAAAGACGGGCATTCAAGTCGACTTGGAGAGAGGCAAGAAGCAGGCAGAACGTCTGGGGATAGAACACCGGGAGCATACGGTACGGATGAGGGTTCGAGACCTCCTAGTCGGGACAATGGACACCTTCCTAGTACAATGGAGCCGTCGACTGCGTCGATGCATCGATTCGATCTAAGTGCAGAACGACATCGGCTCCCTTTTGGTATGGGGCAATCAGCCCGGTCGGATCACGGCAACCATTCGGTCGAGACTTTAGGACCTGGATCAAATGCCACGGGGTTGGCGAGTTCGCTGGTAGCACCTTCGAACAGTACGTATAGGGGTAGTGATGGTTCGTTGAATCCTTCAGCCAGCTGATACTGCATCAGTCAGAATAGCCCCGTTGGCGTTTTACGCATGAAAGTACCTTGCCGACTTGTCAGAGTCAACACATGGAAATGGTTTGACAAGGAAGAATAGTGTGCGAGAAGAAGTCAACGTTTTACGAATATGATGAATACAAAGACATTTAAAATCTGCTTCAGGCATCTCACCACTTTTAAAGAACTGCTGCCATTAGTGTTTCGTCATATTGATCTTGGCTTTAATCGGCTTTACGTGTAGAAGCCTCTGACCCACTTACAAGGCACTACCAGGTAGGGCACTTTAGTTGCTGTCGAAAAGAATACGTACCTTGAAGACCCGCCAGCGCCACTTCCATTGCGGATCCAATCAAGACGCATCTCATCCAGTGGCAGCCGTAGAAAAAAAGTTTTGGCAGGATGCGATTAGATAAGGCACTAATGACCTCTTCTACCGCTAACGAGGTGCCACTGCTGCTAATGCTTCGCTGATTCATGAAAAAGATTCTCCATCTTTTTCCAATCACCAGAGGCGATTCCTCTTCTTCAACAAATACTTGGCGACTGCCCGGGCCTCGTCTTACCGCTCACTGTTGATCGTACTACGTCTGCTTTCTTAATTATACGGGACCGACAGGGTTCAGTACAGGCCGCGCTAATCCACCGACGGTGCCGCGCAAAATCGAAATTCAACGACGAGTCGACTGAGGAAACAAGTACAAGCAACAGAACAAGCAACATTGACGGAGATCAAGACTCTCCTCTTACTTCACGCCTGAAAACTGCACCTTACCATGTCACACCATCAGCCTACGTCGCACGTCATGTCGAGCGGCGACGAGAAACCATTCCATCATTCCCATTCACCAATCGATCACTCGGCACTCATCCAGTCACGCGAGACTGGCGATGTAATTCCCGACGACACCCCTATCCAGGGAAATGTCAAGGCATTACCCTTTGCTAAATCATGGGTTCACATGTTTGCTGGCGGGTATGTAATCCTCCGTATGGCCCTCAACTAGCTTGCGACAACTTGTCGTAAGACTAATTTGCGGGGAACTACGAGACTGATTTGATTGTGTTCATAGTGTTGGAGGTATGACTGCCGCTGCAGTTACAGCCCCTCTCGATGTGTTGAAGACTCGATTGCAATCCGATTTCTACCAGGCCCAGATCCGAGCTCAACGCGAAGCTCAAGCTCAAGTCATTGGCCGACTAAACCCTGCCCGGGCTGCTCTATATCATCTGAACGACACACTCCAGATTCTCGGCTCAGTATATCGGAATGAGGGTTGGCGAGCACTCTTCAAGGGTCTTGGCCCTACCTCAGTTGGAGTTGTACCAGCTCGATCCATCAACTTCTATGTCTACGGCAATGGAAAACGCTTAATATCTGAGCATTTCAACAATGGTGTAGAAGCGCCATGGGTCCACCTATCGGCTGGTGTAGCAGCCGGTGTCATTACCTCAACGGCTACAAACCCCATCTGGATGATCAAGACTCGGTTACAGCTGGACAAGAATGTTGCAGCTGGCGGTGCGCAAATGCGCAAATATCGAAACAGCTACGACTGTATACGTCAAATTATTCGGGACGAAGGTATTCGAAGTCTCTACCGTGGCATGAGTGCTAGTTACCTCGGCGTGGTAGAGTCGACGATGCAATGGATGCTCTACGAGCAAATGAAGGCATCTCTAGCTCGCAGACACAACGCGATCGTCCGCAGTGGTCGTGAACTGACTTGGTGGGATAAGACTGTCGACTGGACTGGAAAGGGTTTCGCTGCTGGAAGCGCTAAGCTGGTCGCCGCCGTTATCGCCTATCCCCACGAGGTACGTCATCGGTTTGACTCATTAGAATCCTCACAGAATACTAACGAGTCTGAAATAGGTTGCGCGAACACGACTTCGACAAGCGCCTATGGAGAATGGACTGCCCAAATACACCGGCCTTGTTCAATGCTTCAAGCTTGTTTGGCTTGAAGAGGGTGTCATGGGTCTGTATGGAGGTCTGACACCTCACTTGATGCGAACAGTACCTAGCGCCGCTATCATGTTTGCCATGTATGAAGGCATCCTTCGACTGTTCCATACACCTGCGTAAAGCATTCCATGAATGAGCAACGCACTGATTCGACACAAAGCGATCAAAAACTAGGGCGCTACCTAGAACCGAGCCGCTCATCGATGTCCTGTAACACTATCCGACACGAGTCGCTATGAAGCTTTGAAAGCTTCACAAACACTACTCGCTCTTGTATCAATGTACAACACCCGAGGTCCTCAAACGAAGCTGGGACATGAAGAATTACGAGAAACTAACAAAAAGGGGGATGGCGTGGCTAAGGCGTATTTATTTTTCGGCGTTTGGCGAGTGGATGGATCAGTAGAGGGGGAAATGTAAACACCTACACTCATGCTTATGCTCATGCTCATGCTCACGCTCACACAAAGGCCATGTACGAGATTATGTATAATAGGAGAGGCGCCTCTATTTTTGGATATCGTCACGCATTGGCGATATCGTCACAAACTTATCCTCGTCCTGAGAAGGAACTCTCTCCGAGGGGTGATGATTAGAAGCCAATACGAATGAACATTAAACCACTTTGCTGACTTTGATACTGTGTTCTAAGCAATGCGCTGTAGCTTCATGGTCTGGGTCTCATGAGTCGAATCACTCTTGTTATTCAGAGCAGATGATATGAATACAAGATAGCCCATCAGCCCATCAACGCCCCAAGCTAAAGAAGGGAGTTCCAGAGCTTCGAATGCAGTGTGGGATGCAAGTTGAAAGAACAGCTTTGGACTGAAAACATAATGACTGGACCAGAGTTTGCTTTTCCCACATGAAACAAAAAGAGAATAGTATGTACATGAAGAGGAACGCCCATTCCACCCTCTCCTGTCGTTTCGTTTTCTTTTCGTTTCCTTGACTCTTTCCATGGAGTCACGGGGAGGGCATGTTGTCGAGAAGGGCATCTCGCTGGTTGAGAGCCGGATTCCGCTTACGGAGCTTTCGAGGTTGGCGCGGAGCTGAAGTTGGAGATGGAGAGCGAGAGCGAGAAGAAGACATGGCTTTGAAGGGCCAGATCAGACGGAGGCGTCACCAAGCGTTGCGATCCCAGTTAGGGTCTGCGATTCTGTGTCAACCTAGACATCATGATGGCAAAGATGGACATGGCGACAAACTCACCTTGGACAAAGGCAGCCAGGACCTTGCTCCCCGTCTGCAGCAGGGGGTGGCCGACGACGATCTTGAGGAACTTCTCAAGGCCTGCGCGACGACCTTCGATAACATCGTCGCTGAAGCGGTTGGTGAAGACCTTTCCGGGCAGAGGAGGGATAGTAACGCGGGCGCTCTCGCGCTCGAGGATGTCGCGGAAGTACTCGAAGTCGGAGTATCGACGACGGACGCTGCTCTGACGAAGCTTGAAGGCGGGGATGTTTGTGCGGCAGAGGATCTCGTAGTCTGTGTACATGTGGCGGCCCATACCATGTGTTCTTGGGTTGCGGACCTATATATGGCGCTTTTTAGCATTTCCTGCGTGTATTGCTTGTCCGTCTGACGATGTATGGTCGCGGATATGGCGCATGAGGGACAAGAGAGCGCACCTCAATCTCTAAAAAGTTCTCTGGAGGACCGTAGATCTCGTCAAAGCTCTGCTGTCGCGTATCGGGCATAGATTGCAAGATTGGTCGGTGGAATTGTGAGCCGGGCGCATCGAGGCCGGAGTTGTCCTGATCGGACGCCATATTTGGTGATGTTGGAGAGAGTTTAGTCGTTAAAGTATAAATATTAAGAGCTAGAGGTGTATGTCGCAGTCGGTTATCGGCGCAAGGAAGCGGTTGAGGCTGGTGGTGATGTTGTATAGAGTGGAGAGAGTGATGTTCACTCGAGTTCAGGCTGTCGCATGAGATGAATGAGGTCGGAGGTAGAAGTGGAAGAGAGTGGAAAGAAAGTGGAGGTGGGGGAACCAGGACAGGATAGGGCGGCGGGGTACTTGAGCAACTGGTGGAGGACCAGGGTAATCATAAGTACCTTTTTGTCGTTTCCTTGGTCAGTGATATGACTGTTCAAGAATATGTGCATTGTCGGGTATTAAAGCCTGTTTCGGGTCACTCGGGCTCCGTTTTGTTGATTGATGATTTGTTTGTGTAACCATGAGCGTTACGACATTGCATCGTACAAGTCAGAACGAAGACGGAGATATCCAACCAATAAATAAGCATGAGACTTAAATATAGTGGCTGATGTATTTCTGAGACAACATTGGTTCATTTTACATCCATGTGAGTATTGGATATTGCGGAAGAATTGATCACATTGTTTTATATTCAAGTAGTAGGGCTCTGAGGTGCTCCTTAAGAGCTTCAGAGCGACAGTCTAGAAGGCTTCATTATATAGTATCGATCCAAGCTGCGTTGACGCGGGACATCTTTACTTCTGATTCAAGCATTTGCCCATCATGAGCATGGTCAATGGTCTGTCTGTCTGTCTTGCGACATGACATGACATAACATAACATGGTACGGCCGTAGTTGAAGGTGTACGTTACCGTTCGTCTCCTGGCAGCCCATTCACCCAATTATCAGCCAATCTACTACCCCAGACATTCTCAGCTGCATCAAACAAGTATAAGCCCATATGATTAACGAAACGCCATGCGCCAGATGTGCCTCACCTTGGGGCCTCAACCTACAACGCCTACCGCGACATGTAGTTTTACACATGATCCGTGTACACGAGAACGCCATGCTCCCTTGAGGGGCTGGCCTGTTTCTCTACTTCTTCGTCTTCGTCGTCTCCGATCGGGTACAATCTGCCCATCGACCGAGTTCCTCACTTCTTGTCAGCGAACTTTTGGTGAATAGCGCGGATCTGATCTTCGACGTTAACGTTCTGCATATGACCCAGCTGTGCTTGGCTCTTGGCATCCATGGCGCCATCGTAGCTGTGAATGGCAGCCTTCTTTCGGCGCGCTAGCTCATCCTCAGAAATGGCCTGTCCAGTGACAGGATCGAAAACGTCGCTGCGCTGGCTGGCAAGTCGCTTGAGGTTGTTTGCGACATCGACATGCATGGTGTTGGAGGATGCATAGCGTGTGTCGGCCTTGGCCTTCTGTTCTTTCCAGCGAGGATCGAGAAGTTCGACTAAAAGGAGGTTAGCATTCTGACTGAATGAAATGCAAGGATGGAGCACTTACTTCGCATGTGAGCCTCAAGCTCATTCATAGGGATTTGCTGTTTACAGTTGGGGCATAGCGCTGTCTGGGCACCCAGTCTGTTGGCAGCCTTCTGTGCGGCACGAGGCACGTAGTTCTCCTTGATCTTCATCGGAGGAGCACCACCACGTGCTTCAGCAGTAGCCTGTTGCTTTCGTGCTTGTTGCTCTGCACGTTCTTGAATACGGCGCTCCTCTTCTTCCTCTTGGGCTGATCGCTGCGGTGGCTGTGGTTGCGCTTGTGGAACAGGGGAGTACGGCTGCACAGGAGGGGGCATTTGAGCGGGTTGGTAGGCTGGCTGTTGAGGGGCGATGGGATAGGGGGCGGGTTGATTGGGGTATGCGTTGTAGGTCGTGTCCTCGTCAGGCATGGCTTCCTCAATTCTGAGGCTGGCACTGATAGACGCATTGTTGCGGTCTTCAAGCGAGGCGTACTGAAGATCGGACAGGTTGGTGGGAGGTGGGAGGTTGGCGTGCTCATCGGCCTCGTTGAAAGTGATTGTCTCGACAACAACGAAGTCGCCCCAGTCGATCATCGCAAACTCTTCCTTGGCCTTGACCTCTTCCTCCTCCTTCTTCTGTTTTTCTGATTCGACGTATTTGGCATATTCGGCTCGTTGCTTGGCGCGGTTCAACACAAGGAACTTATCGTTTATGTTGGCTTCGAGCTCCTTTATGCGCTCTTCTTGAAGCTTGCCGCCTTCTCCACCGAGACCACTTGCACGTAATAAAGTTGTATATTGGTCGATAATATGTTGGAAGAAGTTGTGGAGAGTGTGATTAGGGATGAGGAAACCGAATTGTGGGTTACCAGCTTCGCGCTGAGCCAACTGTGTCATAAACTGTCGTCCATTCTTTGCTACAAAGAGAGCCGATAGTTGAATCACATCCAGATCCTTTCGGTTGATGCGAGGCGTTCGCGCGGAGAACAGGTAATCGGCAGGCTTCGGGGGTCCCTGAGGCTTGGGAGCCTCGGCCGCAGGTTCGCCCACGCGACCAGCAGCAATCGCTGTACCACGTCCGCTCCTGACCTCATCTAGTCGCCATTCGTAGAAGGGATGGTAGGCATCGGAAGGGTTGAGAAAGCTGAATTTCGGGTTTGATCGTTCCTTTTCGCGAATGCGATCTTCGAAGACGGCGCCGTTTCGCGCTACGTAGCCGGCTGTCTTTTCAAGAACGTTTCGAATCTCGCGAGGAGGGAGGACTACTCCAGCGGGAGGCTTAATGTCGTCGAGAGCATTGGCGGCGGCATCGCCGTTGGTTGTTACGGCTGCCATTATGAGGAGGACGCGCTGAGAAAGAGGGAAAAGGCTGATGGAGCTGCTAGTGAAAGGCAGGCGACTTTGGAAATTTCGGGGTGTTCTGGCGACGCGAAGCTTTGGTCGGCAAATTGTTGTTCCGGGTAGTTTTAGGTGTCTACCGCGATCACCTCAACTTTGGCGACAACTTTATTTCGACTTTGCTAGTAGGCCTATTTCCATGAGAATTAACGAACTTTGGCTATTCTAGTAGCTGGCGTCTTAAAAACCCGTTATTTGTTCTTCTGAAATCAAACAGTACTTGAAGGCCAGGACATCGTATGCAACAGTCTCGATCAATAGGTGCTTTGGCTCACGACATGGCAATATCTTGCGCCAACTTCTTCCGTTGAACAAGCACTATACTTGTTTAAGTCGTTAAACCTATAGTAGTCAACAAATATCATATCCGGGATAAGCTATTTGGGACTATACTTGAACAGTCAGTTAATGTACAAGAGCTTCTGTGGCTTAGTTGATGGTTGAGATACCGATACTATTGGCCAATATTTCATGATGTTAATTGGTTATATCCTGAGTTACATGCCGTGATGACACGCACCGTCCAGAGTGTAAGTTAGT